GGGAAAGAAGTGGCCAGTGTCGCAGGTCCAGCCGAGATTCCCTGAAGAAGTGAGACATGGTCGGGAGAAGGTTTGGCAGGCCTGTCCTGGTCCATGTCGTTTCCCCCTGCCTGGATGATTAACTTGACCGGCTAACTATCTATTAGACATGTAGAGTTGTCAAGGTTCAGTATTAAGGAAAAATGGGCTCCTGAATGGCCAGAAAATAGGACTGAAGTTCAGCGTCGGAAAGTCGTTAGGGTGCTGTCTGGCGTAGTGCAGAGTCCGTGTGATAAATGAGTGTCCAATCAGAAGTACGATCGCGTCAGTCAGTATTTGCCCTTGATGTCAATGGAGGAGTTTTCTTGGTGGGGGTGGAGCTTCTGGAAGGTCATCCTAAGGTTGCTTAGATCGTTTATACAACTCCCTCTCATTTCGGGATCTGGAAAGGGAAAAGAAAAAGACGAGTAAGGATTGAAGTTGGAACTATGATCTGAAAATTTTGATTAATCCTTTGAATTAGCAATACTTTATGTAGAAGAGTTTCTGCTTGTACTGTCTGTATAACTACTTGAATGAAGCGATTGAGAGATAATATCTCTACACCACGCATGTCCTGCACAGACATTCCAATCGAAAGAAATCTCTTGCTAGACTATCCACTTCTGTAATTAACTGTTCCTGTCAAGTCAATTTATCCTTCAGGGTAGTTGGCGTTCCTGAATTGTACCAGGCATCTGGAAATCCAATGGAACTCTTGGAGACTGTTGAAAGAGAGCCTTAAGAGAGAAACTTTCATGGAACTTTGCTAAGAAGTTCTGATAGCAAAAAGTACGGAAGGAAGACGCAAGTCCCAAGTGCCAGGAAAAGAGTTTTACAAAAGTTCTGTCAGTTTTTTAACCGCAACTTTGAGACTTCATCATATCATTGCTGAAAATAAAGCTACTTAATCAAAATAAGTTGCATTATAATCAACGCATTTCTGCCAACGAGTTACAAACGCATTTATACATTTTAAGTAAAAAAAATGTGGATTTCTGGAGTCAATGAACTGTTTGAAGGCGGTTTCAATAACTGCTTGGTTGGAGAACGATTTCTCCCAGAGGAAAGTGTCGAAATGTTTGAAAATTTGGTTGTCCGTGGGGGAAAGCTTCGTACCCCAACTGGTTCAGTTGCCTGAGAGTGACTTGGGAAACATGAGGAGGAACATTGTTGTGGAGTAGGATAGGGCCTTTTCGATTCACCAATGACAGCTGTAGTTGGGACAGCTTCTGGTGGACAAGGTCCAATTCACGACAATATCTTTGTACCTTTCTACCTTATCGAACACTACCTGAAAGGTAGTGTTCGATATGGTAGGTAGTGTTCAACTGGTCATAAGCAACTTTTTTCTTGAGGATATTCCTATCCATGCTGTCTTTCATGGAGTTGGTAGTGATGTTTCATTTTCGGCGTCTTAATGATATCGATTGAAGATGCCTTGAAGCTTATTTTAACATGCAAAAATTTTGCAATTTGAAGCAACTGCAACGACGCTATAATTGTCTTTGTAATCAAATATTCTTTCCGAATTTTTTTCATATCATTGCAAATGAGGAGTTCAAGTAAGAAATATTTGAAATTATCTCTTAAGAAAGATAGCAGGCTTTGGGAGCTACAAGTGGTTCTCTACAGTATTCTTAAGAATCATTGAGCACACCTATAAGGACCCATCCAGGTTTTTTCAAGTCTTCTTCCCTTTCTTGTTTCTTCCCTGGAGTTTTTCAGAAGGGCAAGTTTCTTGAACTTGAAGGAGATGGTACCCTTCTCCATCCCCTTCTTAGAATACTTTTTGTCCCTTTCTTGAGCCAGGTTGATGTTGGAAAGAGCCCTTTCGTCGAGGGACTTGGGCACTCTCCAGTTTCCTTCTGATGGCAGACTCGGTATCGTACGGGCCTCGCAACGCCACTTCTGTACCATCCTCTTCTGGACCTTCTGTCACCTGAAAGATGCAATATCGGGAAGAAATTCCTGTTTGAGTTCAGGCTTTGTTTGATCATGGGATGATCCAAAATCTGTACATCATTTGGTAGTTATCCGTAATCACTTCCCAGGTAGGTCTGATTGCTTTTTTTATTATTAGAAAGTCACTAATATTTACTTCTACATTGATGTCAAGTTACATGAAGGTGCAAAGGTGTTGCAATTCAATAAAGGAAAGTAAATTTTACATGTCATTGCATAATTTACCTCCACTTTATATGCTTGTGCTGCCATGCATACCTCAACTCACTCAGGAAATAATTTCTGGTCACTTCGCAGAACAAATATGGGTTCCTCTTGAACATTAGCTCATAAGATGAGAAGCCTGTAGAAGAATGAATAGATGTTCTCTAACCAAACAGGACAGGCTCCAGAAATTGAGAAATTTCCTTCTGGAGTGTCTGGTTCGTCCTTTCATCTATGCTATTGGTTTGTGGGTGGTAAGCAGCATAAACGCGATGCTTAATTTTCCAATGCTTGAGAAGTTCTTCTTTGATCTGAAAATTGAATAATAAAGAATCAAACGTATCATTAAGAAGGAAGTGGCATTTGCATCTTTAGTCGTTCTAGTTTCATACCTTCTTGCAGAATTCTATGCCCTCGTCAGATAGGTTTTCAGCCCCAAGAATTGTTCTAAAGAATAGAGGCCGATTTAGTTAACTTGATACTGTCAAAGTACTCTAATAAGAGACTCATTACAAAGCTGATTTAATTGAAAAACGTCCAAGATAAAAGGTCTTCACTCGATAGTTATTTCCAGCTGGTGAAACAACGAGGCAAGACATCTCGCTACGTCGTGTACTTCCTTGGAAGACAAAAGAAAGGCTCCCACCCATTTTGTGAAATAGTCCTTCACAGTAAGGATGTATTTCATGCCTGGCGGTGTCTGAGAATATGGCCCCATCCATGTAAATGTGGTTTCAGAAAAGATAAACTATTTCACAAGTTTCCCACTAAAGTAAACTTGCACTACATGCAACGATGCTTCTTGAACTGCATGAAAATTATAAAGCATGCTTTCCTTTTTCGGTCCGGAATGTCATGATTGTGGTGTACTTACATAATTTTTTATGCCTTGCACCATCCTTTGCCCGTAAATCTCTCCGAAACTTTTTGCAGCGTTTTCTTCTCGCCCAAGTGACCACAACTATGGTGGTGTCGTGTGGAGGGGCTTCAAAGTGAACTTTTAACGTTAACTTTAGGCCGAAAGCAAGGGAAAGATAATTTAGCACGAGCGGTTAATCGGAGGCAAAAGGAAAGGGTCCGGCCTCGCTCCTCAGACAGGACAAGCCGTCTAAGGAGACGTCTGATGAAAATAATAAAGCGGTGTTCAAACAAGATGTTCAAGTTAAATTAAGAGAAGAAAATAAATATCGCAGATGTTGATGTACGTGTTGCGGAGGACTTGAAGGAACAGTCTGCAGAAAAGTCTCACTATGGAAAGAACAAGTCCGGCGCCAGACGGCAGCGGAGAGACCGCAGGCAGGGCTGACCAGAGGGACGAACTCACACGACGGACGACACAGGACAGACGGACGGAAGACGTAAGTCGGCGTGGCCGGAAGGGGGAGGTCACACCCCCAAAAATACAATGGAAGGCTACGCGGGCCCAACCCTGACATGGGCAGAACCCTTGCAGGGCCGCGAACAAAATAATGTCCCGCGGGAGCCAGAAGGCTCTATTGAGGTTATATTCGAATTTTACTTATTTTTACTCATATGACAGTGGCATTCTTCTAGAACTTCCCTTTTTTTCTTTTTCATCTGTGATGACTTTCCTCTTCACCACCTTCTTCTCTCCCACATAATATAGTGTCACCTATGACATGAAATGCAGTAATAAATTTACTAGTGCAATCATATCAGATGTCGGTCAATTGTATTGGAGAATTTGTATTTTTAATTGAATGTGAAGAATTCTGCTGTTAAGCAGCTGAAATGTGAAACTCCTTGTTACATTAAGAAATCCCTTTGAGTCGATTCCTAATTCCGGAGCCACGAAGCACGCCTCAAGAAAGTATTGATGATAACATGACACCAGATGTCTCTGCTCTGTAATATTTCGACCCTCCCCTATCCCTGTGAGTGTTTCCTCTTAATTACACTCGCAACTCCATGCTACGTTGGACTAGCAACCGGTGAGGAAGGATAGGCTACGCATAGAAATCTTTCGACGCGTGGGTTACATGAGTATATGATATGGGGAACCGGAGAAGCAAGTTAAGCGCAAAGACACAAGACAAGTGCGCGAGCACATCGGAGAGAGAGTGATAAGAAATGTCCTGCCTCGACTACTGAGGAAAGAGTGAACCGAAAGCGTCCCGGGGGGCCTTTTATGCGCAACCTTGTGACGTCACTCTGCATGCACAAATATTCATGACCTCTATGCCGGGGGTTTGACCGTGACAGTTCTTCGTCCGTTCCTTGTTCCCGGCCGAAGAGGTGGAAGTAGGTCGCCACACGAGCGCCGTTTTGCTAGCCCAAGAAGAGAGAGTGATATTCTCCGTCCTTCTCATCAATTATGAGAAATACAGAAGAACGTAGCACGTGGATGAAAATCTACTTACGTATCCGACGAAAGCCCTCATCGATACATAGCATGAAGGCCATTTTTGTATCATCACGTGACGCGACTTGGGATCCTCTCGAACGAGGCAATGACGGATTCTAGCTCGTCGAGTACTTCCTACGAGTGTCACGTGAGCTTTTTGTTTCGACATCGTTGATTCCCCATCTCCCAGGATCCGCTTTCCGTCTTTTCAATGCCACGGGACCCTGGGGAAGAGATAAGAAATCGGGGGAGGCACCAGTCACATCTGGGTGCTTTCCGCGTTCCTGCGACGGCGATGAGTGGTTTTCCGAGGAAAAATAGATAGGAAAGATAACTTGAAATGTTTCGATTTTAAAAAGAGAGGCACGAGAATAGAATCCCGTGTGAGGAAGGACGGCACACCTTTCATCCGCTTCGGTTTTTCTCGTCCCCGCTCGCTCTTCGACCGATGGGGAAATCGGTAGGGGTTCGTTCGGGTGGGCAAGGGCCTAAGGTGCTCTCTCTGTTCGTGTTGCTGGCGGTGGGGCGGCGGGCCGGAGCGCAAGATCTGGTCATGATGGTGTCGTTCGACGGATTCCGGCACGATTACTTCTCCGTCGCGGACACGCCCAATTTCGACACGTTGAGGGAGGATGGGGTCTACGTGCCGAAGATGAAGCCGATCTTCACGACCCTCACGTTCACGAATCACCACGCCATCGCCACGGGTCTCTACGCCGAGACTCACATGGCCATCGCGAACGCGCTCATCGATCCCGAGACGGGGGAATATCATTACCTGTTCGAGGATGGAGACGGTGTTCTCACCAAAGATCCCCGCATCATCCCGATCTGGGTAGTTCCATGTCATTTTCGGGAGGTCTAACGTGGGTTAAGGTTAGACTCCGATAGCGATTCTGGTCGAGTGAGCTCTCGTCTGACGAGTTAGCTTGTTGGAATGTGCAGGTTAAACCTCGGTTTCAGTGATTGCATCTCGAGTTAGGGCATCACGTGCCTAGTAACGAGATCCCTAGTAAGAATTTGTTGTTGGAGTTAAAATGGAATGACCTCCGCTACCGGACTCGTATTTGTTTCTCGATCGACCCCTCACGAATCATAGACTTGTGTGTTATCACTTGGAAAATGGAGGAGCGATGGGCGATAGTGACTCCCCTCGTTGATTGCTCACGGCCCAGGTGGCCCTAGAGGGCGCCGTGGAATGCGTTGAGTATTGAGAAATGCGCAGGTCATTTGCGACATGGGAATATAGTTTTTCTGCGTCGTGTTTTTTTGGGGCCACCTGTTGATTTTTTGTCGGTGGAAGCTGAGGTGAGAGAAATGAAAATATTCGTCGGCTCGAACACGACTTCTGGTGCGACACATTTCAATGCACTCTGCTGCAAGCGAGTTTCTGTGGCTGTAGCCACGAGTGCAATCGACGAAACTCGGTCAGCGTCAACATGGTGATGCTGACCGAGTGATGAAAGAATTATTTCTGATGAGTCGAGCGTTATTCGTACGAAAGGGATCTAAAAAGGCTAAGGGCCACTCAGAGTGGAGCGGACGGAGCGAAGCATGCAAGAAGCATTTGGATGCATTGCACGAGATGACGTTTGAAGGCAGGGAAGCATCCTCACTCTCAGCCTCCTCTCCGAGATCGGGTGGAAAGTGAGTTTTCCACTCTCACCCGAAAGGACGAACTGGCCGCTCACGTTTTTCAGGGGGGGAAAGCGGCTCTCGGGCGTGTCCGTGCCAGCCTTGCGTTGCTAAGGTGACGAACTTCCGAAAGGATTTCATTCCCTGCATATCGAAGAGGATGAACGCCAAAAGTGAATAGTAAAGTTTCTTTAAAAGTACGATCGTTGCCCCCCGTTAAAGCATCGTAGAAGTTTTTGGAACCTGGGGAAGGGGAGGGATGGACGGGATTGCTTTGTATCACCCAACCAAACGGGTCGCAACGGCCAGGCTCCTTTGACCGCAATCAGAGTATGACACGACGGGGATTGGAAACCAGATGCACAGATTGTGTCCAGGTTCTAACGTGCCGGCATGGCCCATCGTTCCTATTCTCGGGTGGGGTACGGACGAGCGAGAGCCTCGACGGGGAAAGATGAAGCGGGTCAAAGTGTGGCGACGATAGAGAGGACACTTGGACAGGGTCTGGCCATCTCGGCGTCTCCGTCCCGCTCTCCACATTCTCCGTCGCAGACGGGACGGGACGGGGAGCGATGCCCCGTCGGAGTGCATGCACTGGAATGTGCCTGCATCCATTGACACCAGGAATTGATAACTCCTGGTGGTTTCCGAAAAGCACACGTTCTTTAAGCTCGAGTGAAGAACACACACGGACCTTGAAGAAAATCGACACTTGTTTCCGAACACCAGTTAAACATTGTATAGAAACGTAAGACGTGGCAAAAGCTCCATGACTTTGACAAAGAAGTTCCCGTTACCGCCTGAGCGAATTTCACGAAGTTCCTCAGAATACATAGAATTTTACAGTAGTTGCTGACTTCATCTTTGCGAAACTGCAAAAGAAAAGAACGTTGGGGAAAGTGTGAAGAAATGAAGAGGGATTAGGGACCCGATTAGCATCCGATCGGCTAATATGAACGATGGAAGGCACCTGGGAGACAGGCTCTCCTTTACAGAAAACTTAAATTCCAATTTCACCTTCTGATAGTCGATTGCATCGAGCAAAACGTTATCGATGCAGTTAACAAAATTACCACTCACTCCCGTGACGAAACAGGTGTCGAACGAAGAGGCAGAGAGTGGGAGATACTCGGGAGTGAGCATGTGGGCCGGAGGGCAGTTTCACTGGGGCCCGAACGAAGCCGTGCCGACTCATCTCACGTTGTACGATGGGAGCGTGCCGTGGGAGGAGAGGGTGGATCTCGCTCTGTCCTGGTTCGTCGACCCGGATCGACCGGCCAATTTCGTCGTCTTCTACTTGGAGGAACCGGATCACATGGGGCACGAATACGGACCGGATTCTCCGGAGGTGAAGGCGACGGTGGAGGAGGTGGACGGATTGCTCGGGTACATGGTATCGCGACTGCAGGCGATGGACCTGTGGGATAGGACTAATCTCGTCCTCCTCTCGGATCACGGAATGGTCGGAGTGAAGAACGACTCGATCGTGGATCTGCCGTCCATTCACGATCCGAGTGATTACCGGCGTGCCAGCGGCTCGCCCGTACTCCTCATCTACCCAGATGAAGGTCGGTCTTGGTACTCTTCTCCTTTCTTCGTGATGAGAACTTTCTCTTTTTGTGTTCCACGCGACAGGGAAAGAGGAGGAAGTGTATGAAGGATTCCTCGATGCATCCGCGACGGAACCATTCTCGGTGTACAGAACGGAAAACAGTCCCGAGGAATGGCATTACGGACCCTCGGCCTACATGCCACCATTTTACGTCGTTGCAGACAAAGGATATGCTTTCAGTGATGCCTTTTGGCTGGAACTTCCCGAAGGTCTCTTTCTCTTTTCTCTCCACAACTTCGATGACTTCTTTTTATTTTTATCGTCTCATGGAGCATGTCGCCCGTGAACAGACGAAAGGCACGATACGTACGGGATGCACGGATACAACAATTCCTTCCCCGAGTTGCAGACCTACATGATGGCCCACGGACCGGCATTCAAGAAGGGCTACGAGTCGCCAGAGGGTGCCGTTTTCGACAATGTCGATATCTACCCTTTGCTCTGTCACCTCCTGGGAATCCAAGCCCGCCCTAACAACGGAACGCTGGAGCACTCTCTGGACTTGCTGCTGCCGACATCCTCCCGAAGCGGGGAGCCTCCCGACTCGCCGTCCGCCTCTCTCGACGGCTCGCCATCGACTGCGGGTTCCGTAGCGCTGATCGCTGGGGTCGTGGCGGCTGGGGTCGCTGTGGCGCTTTCGCTCGCCGCTCTGGTCGTGTACGTGAGACGGCGGAGGAGGGAAGCGCCGATGGCTCTGAGGCCATCTGCTGCCGATTCCACTTCCGGCTTGGTTCCTTTGGATGCCATTAGTCTTGGTTTCAGGTCAGCGTCATCGGTTATCTCTGAAATGTCACAATTTTCGGATGCGATCGTGAGAGGGACTGGTTAGAGGGGAATGAATTGATGTGTAGGAAATGATGGCTTTAACATTTTTTTTGTCACGTGACAACACTTTTACATGCACTTTTGAAGAGTTGGATATCGTGTCGGAACATAGCCAGCATGAGAGAAAACCAAGCCTTTGATCATTGAAGGCTGTGATGCAGAACATTATCGGTGAAGAATGATTCCATGATTTACAGGCACCCAAACCTGGAGGCGTGACATCGCACGATGGTCTTCCCGCGAGGCTGGACACGTACCCCAACACTGCGGCAGGGAATCATATTTCGCACGCTTTTAATGCAACCTGCAATTTGTTGTATAAAAATGGGAGTTTCTGGTGTTATGCGTTTACTGCCAATTATTGTCGATTAAAACGTGCTTCCAAAACCTCAATGAAATTAAGATTCTCTTCTGTGCTGTGTCTATTTCTGACAGATGCTCAAAGAATCTTCATCTTGGAAAATGACTCCAGTCATTTTGCTCAATTTGTGATGATGTGATCGAAAATTTGTAAGAAATTGGCATTATGCCGAGGTGAGAAAAGCTCTCGGGAGTCGATGTGTTATAATTGATTAAAGTGATTGGGATTGGGAAGGGATCTGGTAGTTTTTGCAACATCGAAACCGAGAGAAATTGATGCAAGAAACTTGTATCTATTTAAGTTCGTCACAGAGAAGCAATGCATCGTCTCAAAATCAACTTCAGTTTTTTTATACTCGGGGAAGGTCATGTATGGGATGAAAAGTAATTGGGCCAAGAATCTTGTCGGACACCTATATTAAAACTTGGGAAAGGGTCAGAAGTGGTGCTGCTCCCTTGAATTTTAGTAACTTCTCTTAGATAGGTGAGGAGTGAGAGAGAGTATGAAAGGAACATCCACGCTTCGCCAATTTGTTTGTGAGAATGTTTATGGTCTTTTGTATCGAATGCTTTACTGAAATCTGCAAGGACTGCTCCTGTGACACATCCCAAGCCCATGGCTTTTAGGGTGTTGTCAGTGAGGGCTGAGCTGTGGAGTGGTACTTTCTCCCCCAACCAATCAGAATTTAGAGAATGTTGGTGATTGAATGTATGCCTCTCGATGATTTTGTTTGTGGTTGGTAGTAGGGATATGGGACGGTAGTTGGAAGGATCACGAGGGCTGCCTTTCTTACGGAGGGGGATTACTTTAGCAATTTTGAAGCATGAGGAGATAGGTGGAGGAGGACAGTATGGCATTCAAGAGATGAGTAGTATTTGGACAAAGGTATTCCCGTAATGCGCGGAACTAAGTGCGATGGGAGTGATACCATCCATCCCACAAGAGGATTTATCAGGTAATTTAAGGATGTAGGCCAGTGTTTCGTCTTCAGAGATGGGAAGGATGTCAAGTATGGCTATGGGGGAGTCAGGATAGGATGAGAGGATGTTGAGGTGTTCTACGCGGTTAAAGGCTGCTTGATTAAGGTAGGTATTGAACTCATTTAGGGACAGGGGAAGTGCTAATGTTTGTTTTGTGAGGTCCATGGAAGATTTAAGGCTTGTCCATGATTGACGAGTGCTTTTTTTCTTGCTTAGCTGTTTTTCTGACTAGGACGATAGTATTTAAATATATTCCAGTAGTCTGGAGAACCAGTTTTAATTACAAGTTTGTGGAAGTAGTTACGTTCCTTAGTTAAATAAAAAACCTTTTATCACAGAATGCATCTCGTCAATTAAGCTACCCCCTTGGGAATACCGGTTTGGGTGTGTTGATTTTTCATGAGGGAATACAGGTTAGTGGGTTTTTCCAGTTAGTTCATTAGGGTATGGAGTGTGGCGAAGAGATTGAATGGTGGTTTTGTATATTTTGTTGGGAACTTTGTAGGTACCAGAATTCCCTTCCCGATTCGAGTGTCAGCATCAAAATCCAGTGAAGGTGAAACGACATGACGACAGGAACGGAAAACGAAAAAGTTACGAAAAATGCTGACCTGAAAATGGAACGTCGAGTTTGAGAGTGCGGTCCTAGGAATTCCTCTCGGGCCTTCAGAGAAAGCTTCTTGACTGAGAACCCGGGGCATACTGCTGGTCAACGTGGTGTTTTTAGCTTGTCGTGGAGGCATGCCCAGCAGCTTTTTTTTTTTGGTATGGTCCGTATGTGGTCCAGTGGACCACGTCCTATTTCTTCTCTCCGCAGCTGAGGTTTTGATTTGTTTAGCTTGTCAGTATATGTAAGCACGTTCTCACCGCGTCCTTGCATTCTTTGATTTAATTCTTTAAGATGCTCAAAGATGTCGGCCGTGTACGCTAGTTTTCCAGCCAGTAATTGTAACAAACCGGCCAGCTGCGATTTGTGGTGCAACGTTAGAAACTGCTCTACCTCGTCCCTAAGCTCAAAAGTTGTTCACAGGACCTTGCCTCGCGAAAGCCAGAGAACCTGTGTGTAAAAGTAGGGATCGGCGATCTAAAAGTAACTGGGCTGAACAAATCTACCAGAATGGTTTCACTAGCTTCGGCGAATCACGCCTTCCTGTCTTTGAATTGCAATACTTGTCTTTGGACTTTTGTCATTTTTCGAAATCCTGTACTAGATTCCAATCCCCTGCGATTATTCCGGGTATGTCTTTTTTTATATTATCTTACATTCCAAGGCCATCCAGGTCCATTGTCAAAATGTTACGCTTCCTTCTACTCAAGTTATTCTCTCGTACTGAAAAGCGCAGCCGTTCCTCTCATTATTTGAGAAATACATTTCTCCTATCATCCTGTTCTCATTTTATCTCATTCGTCATCCAAAAATTGGGTGACAGATAATTCGTGACTTTTTATCTCGGAAGCGTACGAGCAAGTCTCTTATCTAGTGAATAAATCGTACAAAAATGAATTTTTCTGCCGGTGAAGTAGGCTCGCATTATCAAGACTAGCAGTCAACCAGTACAGAAGTTCTTTATGATGAATGTTAATGAAGGCATCAAATTAGAACGAGCAATGAAGATGGCCATTTGAGCTTAAGTGAAGCAGGCAGCACTTGCGCGCGAAGAAAAAGCATCCGATAATTAAGGCTATTTGGCAGCAACACAAAGTACTACTAAATACTAGTACACAAGGTCGTTTCTTGACGAAGACGCGTGGAATATTTGACGGGAAACATATAGCAACAGAAACTGGTCACTAAGGCATCAACACAATATGATGTGCCAGTCAAAACAACTACATATCGATATCTAAAAATGAAACACAGCATGGAAGCTGATTTAAATCGTAAATCAAAATCCAAAAGAATCCAAATTGTAGCTGCTTGGGCACGAGCCACGAAAAAGGGATTTCAGCAGAGCTAGCCGCTGGGGGTATGGTCAAACAAATCAATTCATCTCATCCAATCTCTAAATCCCTATCCAAAATATATATATATATTTGTAGCCGCAATCAGTTCATTGAACAATGTTCATTAAACGGAAAAGTGTCATTTCAACGCGCTTAACAAGGATAACAACCACGAAGTCGCTATAGGGAAATTTAACCTAGTATTACCGGAATGTCAACTTTTCGAGTCTCATGTGGAAATTACCGCTGGAAATCTTGAAGAATACACTCGAAATATTCAACAGGCTTGTTTAGAAGTTCGGGATGCCTTGTTGCTAGGGGCCGTTTTATTTCCTTAGCTGCGATTGTGGCGTTGCCCTTGCAGGTTTAGCCCTTGTTTCATCCCCTTTCACGCCTTCGGGGAACCTTATCTCCAGCCCCTTTCATCCCATATCATCCTCAACATCGGGCTAGGGTATCTCCCTTAAAATAGCCCGTCGCTCCCCAGAATAGAAGAGCAAAACCAGTATTGATTTCTGTTGCGTTAGATAGTTACTAGATTAGGAAGAAGATTAAATGAATGGATATCCATTCTTTTACTGTTCACCTAAGTGCTTCAACCAGCACTTAGGTACTCGGCCTCAACCGAATAGAAATAGCCAGGTTCCAGATTATAAACGGGACCCAAGACCTGACACTTGGGTGGGTGACAGTAGCGAAGTCTGGAACACTCTGTCCTCTCACCTCCTCCTTCCTCCTGAAGATCGAGGTCGAGTTTATAAAGTGTTCCTTCCCATTAGTCCATGTCACGACAAGTCGAACGACGTAGTATCCGGATGACTGGACGAATGCTACCACATCAATAATAATCCTTTAATGAAGGCATCATTCCTTTTCTCACACCACCGACTTTCTCGTCTACCCGGTACACTAACGCCACATTATTCCTGGGAACTCATTAGGCATCCAAGAATGGAAGATGATTAGTCACTGGGGTGCTACACAAATACCACGATCCCGATGCTTAAATGCCAGAACGGATAGTGATTTGCCATTCCAATTGCCACTATGCCTCAGAGGGCATCCCCTTCTGCCGCATATTAACCATCCAGTTAAGAACATTCATTTGCATATCGTAGGCTCAAGTGAAAATCACCCGACGATTTGACTCGTTGCGTGGAGACGGGAAGAGAGCATATAAGATACAAGATGCGGCATTTCAAAAGTACGCCCGGGCGACAACTCGGGGGCCGCTCGTGGCAGCGTGGACAGGTCTTCAAGTCGACTGGATCCATCATCCGCGAGGGTTGAATGGGAGATGGAAAAATTAGTCATGGACTGCCACCCCAACCAAGGCGAAAAGCTGCACATGCGCACTGAATCGTGTTGTCCGGTCGCTATGGTTACTGCGGACAGATAAAATGAAAAAAATAGTGACAGAACGATGTCAATATCTGCCATTTCCCCCATAGTACATTTACGAATGGCAAATCGGTCGCAAAATCCGCCCTTAGAACCTAAGGCAATGATGGGTAAGTTGTTCCTCTTCCAAGTATCTATAGATCTCCAAATTGTGAAATTTGAGACTCGATGATGGCACTGACCTGCGATCAGACGAACAGGTTTCGAGCAGAAAGCCCTCATCCCGGACGAACCCCTTCTTGAATGCCGGCCCGTGGGCGATCAAGGCCTGCATCTCGGGAAAGGAATTGTTGTATCACAAGAAACCCTGTACGTGGTATAACCCTCGGAAAAAAAGGACTCGCCTTCGAGCCGATTAACAATGACTAGCATATTGTGAAGCAGATATCTATATTCGTCTCTTCGGGTTACACGATTATTTAAAAAATGCAAATTGGTTGCACCATGTGAAAGATGACCACTTGGGCATTGAAGCTCCAGATGAAGGACGGAAATACCTCGTCAGGAAGCCTATTCCAGCTTGAGCACAAAAAGCCGTTCGCTTCCACATACATAACGACCAGCCGATGCCTGTAAGATTGGAATTTGTCCACTGAACTCCTCCCNACCACTTGGGCATTGAAGCTCCAGATGAAGGACGGAAATACCTCGTCAGGAAGCCTATTCCAGCT